TTGATTGTTTATTTTTTATGTATTTGTATGCACTGTAGAATAGTTTTTGCTGTTCTTTTCGTTAATATCTGTCAAGGGCAGATCTGTATTTTTAAACGATAAATAGATATATATATATATATGTATACATATTATAAAATGAAGTTCATACAAGTGAAGTAAAAATACAAATATAGGTGTGTATATTGATAAAAAATGAGACGAAATAAATTAATGTCTTCGGCGATTTTTTCTTTGTATACATCCAGTCATAGAAAAGATGACCTCTCGAATGCGACGAATATTTAACTGTTCTTCTTCATTTCTTTGGTTGATATTAAAAATATTGAAAGTTGACCGATGTTAGTTGTCATGCTTCATTGATCATTGAGATCATGTTATCTATGTCGTTCTTCTCATCTTTATATTCATATTGACTCAAAACTAGAGAAAGATATCACTTATATCGTCTATATAATGGAGAAATTTTATAATTCAAACAATGAATCAAATCGTCTACGATTTCGTATTCTTGCTATACTTGGAATTATATTATTTCTTATTGGTTTAACATCATTAATTTTATCTGTTATTGATTTATTTCAAGGAAAACCAAGTATTTATAATTATAATGAATCTCAAGGTGGATTAAAAATTGAAAATCCACTTTGGCCATCGTCTGGTAAACGATAAGAATTTCTTTTTTTTTTGTTTTCAAATATGATCATTTGCTTGTTTAATTTTATTTAGGTAAAGGCTTTTGGGTTGGTCTCGTATTAATGGCTGCAGGTCTTGTAGGTATATTATCATCACGTGAAGGTACTCGAACATCAATTATTGGATTTACAGCACTTTCAATTGTATCAACTGTTCTTTCATTTTATATGATGATAACATGTATTATACCTGTTGAATATGATACGAAATATTCTGATGATATTAAACTAAGTTGGCAATCAAATGAACTTATTCTTAATTCATTATTAATTGCTACTGGTGCACTTGGTTCAATTGTTGGTACAATAACATCTATTTTTGGTTGTGTTTATGCTGATTGTTGTGTAGATCAACGTGATGCTGATGTGTATAGTCCTGATGCAAAGCAGACTATACCAGTAACACCATCGTCAATAAGATATCCAGCCTTAGATGCTTCTCGTATGGGTTATTCTTATCAACAAACAAGTTTTCGAATGCCTATGTAATCGATAAGAGCAAAAAAGAAAAGAACTAAGTATGCGTGTAGTATCGAATATTTATTGTATGTGAACTAGTATATCTCTAATAAACAAAATATTATAGAATTCATTGGTTTGACTTGTATTGTTTTTGAAAATAAATTAATATGTGTTTTTTTTTTTGAAATATTGATTAACATCTGAAATAAAAATGGCAAATACTTACCAACAGAGACAACTATCATATGTTATATTGTAAACTGATCATGATATTAATAATAAGAACAATATGACAAGAAAGTTAAATAAACAATGTAGAAAATAGTAATCAAAACAATTTGGAATATAGATAGGATTAAATGATTACATTTGAAATGTTTTTCTAACATTATTTGATATAAATAATAGATAAATACCAACAATTCAAAAGAATGATATTGTATATCATCGATCAATCAAAATCATATGTTATTTCTTTTTTTTTTTTTTCTTATAATATATATCCTGATCACACAGATTATTTTTCTTTCTGATATGCAAATTAGTATTTTTGCATAACACTTATGTTCTCACTGCGTGCATTAATCATTGAAGATAAAAAGAAACTTGTTCAGTTGTAGTTAGTCTTGCTGTACATATCTGACTACCTTTCGATAGAGAAAAAATTATTTCCAAGTCTAAAGAATTTTAGATAAGCATAATTTGAATAAATTTTTTCGATTCATTTTTTTCTAAAATCAAATATGAAAAGTTAATTTAAAGTAAATATTATTTGGATGTAATGAGCAACTAGTTATTTAATAGATATTGTTTTGTTTTTCTAAGATAAAAACAACAAATTTTGAAACGTGAATTAATCATGCAAAAAAATATTTTCAAGGTTTTTGTTAGGATATGAGTTTTCTTAATCCTCTAATTGCTTGATTATAATACAAAGAAAACAATTTGATTAATTGAAAAAAACAAACAAATAGTATTCATTGACATACGCTTAATTAACTTTCTATTTTCATCGGAAACCATGAAAGTGAGGAGATATGGATGTATACATCATCCTAATAATCTAAGATTATTCATTATTGCTTAGTGAACTAGTAAGATTTTGTTTTTGATTTTTAATATCTCTGTGAAATATTTTTTTACAAACTTTCTTTATCGTGGGACGCTTATACGATGTTTGATTTATATACGACTCGAAAGATATTTCTTTTGCATTCCATTTTTCCTTGCATAATGAATTTTTTGTTATTATACTTATGATTCTATCAATTTCAATGTGATAATCAATATCAACAAGATTTATGGAATCGAAAGAAGAGCGTTGTAAGAGTTCTACACATCTCTGATCAATGAAGAGTCATACATTCACACAATTGCATTAAGGCGATAAGATCCTATGAATTGCCTCATACATACATCATCTGATCTACTTGTATATTCATCAAAATAAATAATCTTCTATACTCGCTGTTCATCGCTGTTATCTTGTCTCTCTCCTTGATACTTTTTCTTTCTAGCCAGACAGAGATATTTATGATAGTACTATCGAGATGGCAGTAGTAGTGGTAGTGGAAGCGTCTTGTGTAGGCAGATTGTACAACTGCATGAATTTGCTCCCGATTTGACTATCAACAAGTCCAACAGTCAAAATCGTGATGAATCCGATGGATTCAATCTAACCGTGCTAATTTAGCACAATGATGGAAGAGACTTTTTGAGACTTTCTCAAAAACTATCATGTCAGTGACAAATATCCGGCCACGATAGATATTTATATATTCCGAGTTTATAATCTACGATCTGTAATAGGTCTCTCTATATGTTTTACCAGTAATTTTTCGTTTTATTGTGATATTATTTTATACGAATGTTTATTAAAACAGATTCTATATTAAAATATTTCAAGAAGTTTTAATAGACATTGTATATTTGCTTTGATTTTTGAAGCTTATCAAAATGCTGCGTACTTTTTTCATCTTTCTTTCGTACTTATCAAAACCAAACTTATGTGTTTTTCTTAAAAGCTTAAGATATTGACACTTGAAAGACCGAGATCGGACATACCGACATAATCTTCTCAAGTGTTGGTATTTACTAAGTATATTAAATCTTTAATAGTTTAATAATACCTGAATTAACACTTCAATACTTGCCTACAGTACTTTTTAACTAAAAGAATCATTAGGAGAATGTTCCATGTTGCTTCTAAAGTTTGCTTGATTTTTGTTTTCTTATCTGTATTATTCTATATGAATATGTACGTATATGTTAAGTAAAATTTTTGGACGTAACATTAGAAAAATGATAGGCAATAGAACATGACATACATTTATTCCTAACCAACTGATGACTAGAAGTGTTTAAATGAATAATACTTAATAAGATTCTTTAAAGTTGTTTTAATATTTTTCTATTTTTATCAATGTCTTGTATACTTTTGAATAATTTGATTTTCTAATCTTTTCCGAATTTTTTTTCTCACTGATATCAAGTATATTCATATTTAATACAATAGATTGTACTTTATAGTAATATGAAGAAATGAATAAATATTAGAAGTCATTAAAGTAACAATTTATTTTATCTAGTTGTGAGAGTCATGAATGATGGAGACCAGGGAAAATTTAATGAAAACTTTTCTTCTTATGTCAACATTTGATAATAGAGGAATGATCTTTCAACGTTTTAGTAAAATCATAAGATCATTTCATGTAGACTTGAACTGGGATACATAAAAAAAAAACCTATTTTTTAACAGATCTCCGACTACCACATGATGGTAGGTGTCGTCCACATCGTAAAATAATAACTTGTTGCAATTCAATGATGCATAATAATCAGAAGTGTTGCTTTCTTTCAAATGGACTGCGGTGATTCTTTCAAGCCTGAAAATTCTTTGTTAAACAACTCGATATATGAATGGTAAAAAAGAAATGCGCAAAGCAACTCTCAGAAGACTTGAAATAATAACAAGTATGCTAGTAGACTGTTTACTAAATGAGAAAAATACTCCTACTTTTACGCACAACACATTTTTCTTTAGTACTTATGTCATGTTTATCTTCAATAAACAGAATTATATAAATTATAAATCATAATAATTTCAGAAAATTGACAAAAAAAAAAAGCATACATTAAGATAATTTCAAAAAGGCACCAATTGATTTATAACAATTTTAAATAGAGTTAAATAGGCTAAAGTTTTGTAAAAATTTTTTTTTTTTGTTCAAGTATATCGTGTATATTGTAATTAGTAGATACTTTTATCATCATGAGTTAAGCATATTTTAACTCTGTTGATAGTAAACATATCTCTTTTCAATCCGCAAAGTACAACATTATGAAATGATTATCAGTACAGCGAAATTATTCTCGCAACAAAGATCCGAAGAACGAATTCTTAACAAATATTTTATAGTTAATTTGTAAATATATATGTATATATTTATGATTTAATATTAATTGCAAATTTTATTGTCATATTATTGCATAATTTCAACGACATTGTTAGTAATAAAAGAGTATCACAGGAAAAAAAAAGAGATTTCAATTATTTTCTTTTGTCATTTAAATACAATATGAAAATATGAAAGATAAAATTAATCGAATAAATATATGCACATATGAGAAAAACAACACAGACTTTGCTTTTACTGAACACACTAGGCTTGTAATGAGAAAAAGAAAATAAGTAGACGAATATACACAATACTATCATTCGAAAGTTAAATTAACTATAATACATAGAAATTCATATCACAGTATTAACAGTACATAAATATTACGATAGACGGATGAGAAAAAAAAAATGCGATATAAGCTGTTAAAAAATGATTATGAAGATTAAAAAAATATATCCACACGTTTAAGTCGTCCAAGTATTTCGCTAAATGATGGTCGTCGGTCAGAATCAGCATGCCAAGCTTGACGCATAATATCACAAATTTCTATTGGACAACCATCTGGTGGTTCCATTCGATATCCTTGTTTCAAATTGATCAAGACATCGTCAGCACGCTACAGAATACAAAATTATTTTAAATGTTGTTTTTTTTTTTTTTGCTTTACCATACGAGGATAAGGACATCGTCCGTAAGAAAATATTTCCCAAAGAAGAATACCATAAGACCACATATCACTTTTATGTGTATATTTCTATAGAAAAGAAAACGTAAAAAGAAATATAAATTTATTTCAAATGTAATAGAATACGTTACTTTTGATTCAAGTACTTCAGGTGCAGTCCATTTTGTTCGACATTTTATTTTTTCTGTACTAATATTATTACCATTTTCTTTTTCTGTTGTTTCTAATGATTTAGCTAAACCAAAATCTGATAGTTTAGCTGTATTATCATCAGCAATTAATACATTGCTTGCTGCTATATCTCGATGAACAATATGATTCTGTTCCAAATAAGTTAAACCTGCACATGTATCACTAAAAAACAAAAAGAAAAATACAAAATCAAACAGATTCATGAACAAACACAATCATCAGTATTTAACTGTTTTTTTTGATCATTCATTTTTGTCATAGGGAATGGCAATCGTTTACAGTTTTAATCATCATTTGATTGTGTATTTTTACTAAATAATCGAGTATGAAATAATAATATTTTTTTTTTAGCAAATGTTTTCCTAAGAATTTCTGTATAACACACCATCTCCATACATTAAGTCTCACACAGGCAGATAAATCTATTCCTTTTAGATTCTTTTCAATATGATGGAAGTATTGATGTATAACAATGTAACATTCATTCAACAAGGTAGCTTTTCACTGGCATCAACTGACAAGGGAACATTACAACTATCCAATTTCTTTTGGTTTCAATTTGATTTTCACTCATTGAGTTATCACAACTTTGGAATATTTCTAGTGATAATAAGGCCTATATCTATGGATAAGAAAAAAAAATACTGTTCTGCTTGAGCTGTAAATCGTCTATATTCCGTTATGTTTTTTTTTTCATTTAACGAAAACATAGAGTTGAAACTCTAGAGTCTATCTTAATAATAGATATAATGTATTATTTGAAAAGGAAAAAAACTTACATTGCAAAACCAACTAAATCACATTGAACAATCACTGATCTACCACGTGTTGTTAAATAATGAAGAAGTGAACCTTTAGCCATAAATTCAGTAACTAAATAAATAACATTATTTGATTTTCCAGCTATACCCACAAATTGAACCAGATTTTGATGTTTCAATAAACTTTATATATTTATTTTTTAGAACACAAATTAATATAAGAAAATATAAAATATACCTCATGATATTAGCTTCATGAAGAAAACTTGTGACAGAATTTGATTCTTTTAATATTTTAATTGCAACACGTGATTTTTTATAGATTCCTTCATAAACTTCTACAGAAAAGCAATCAACATCAATCATAATTATTTACCAAAAAAGAGAAAGAAGTTTCATTTACCAGCAAATTCTCCAGATCCAATAAGTTTTCCAATTTGCAATTCTCTATAATCAATCACTAATGGTGCTTTAAGTGAAAGAGTTATAACAGGTGATATTGTTTTTTCTATTTTTATCGAATCCATATTATCATGTTTGATATTTACAGATTTTTCTAAACGACAACATAAACCATCGGCATCCAATTGATAATGCTAAAAAAAAAAGTTGGAAAAATATTTTATTCAATGGAAATCGCACATAATCATCAAACCTGAACAAGTAGATGAAGATTAGGAAAGAATGTTTCATCATCTATTGTATATGTTTCATTTATTCGATCATATTTAATTCTATAATGTTGAATTCGAGTTTCATCTTTAATTGATAATGTTAAATCTCCTGGAAAATGTTTACTTTCACGTATAAGAAATGTTCCAATACATTCATTACCAAGTAACTGTTCAGCTTGTATACGTGATAATTTACCAAAATGCCAACTATATGATTTTCTAGATATATTCATTCAATTTTATATTTCAATAATTAAAAATAAAACAAAAATAATCATACGTTTTAACTACTAAATTTTCATCATCATTCGCCATTGAAAAAAAAAAAGAATAATCAGAGTTATTCTATTAATATTTCGTTTCTTATTTTCCGAATGGTAATTAATATAAACCAATGAAATTATTTCAATAAAAGTCATTTATGCATTTTGAACTGTTTTAGAATAGAGTATCCTCCTCTGTCACACATTGATCAATTAATAAATATGGCTACTGTCAGCTGCTATACGATTGCTTCGTTCGCCGATACGGACGGACGCATTATATATTGATTGATGAATGAATGACTCTTTTGTTTTCTTATCTGACATTCTAGATAGACTCGATTCATACATATATATATATATATATATTAATATAACAAAATAGAACAAAACAATTATGATCTAAAAGTAAACATTAAACACATATAGTCATTGTTTTTTTGCAACCACATATATTTTTCTTTTTTTTTTTTTTTTTCATTTTTTTTCTTATATAGAAGATGTTTAATAACAGTAATGGTAATAATCGTTCTACCACTGGTGGTAGTTACGACTTTAGTGTTAATGATGTTTGCGATCGATTAGAAAAAGAATTCAATCATATGCAAGGTGAACGTGCACAATTACGTATTGAATGTGAAAAATTAAATGCAGAAAAAAATGAAGTACATAGACAATATTGTCTTTATTATGAAATGGCATATCGTTTATCATATGAAATGCATAAACAAACTGAAATAACCAAACGTTTAATTGCATTACTTCATCAAATCATTCCTTATTTAACACCTGAACAACAGTCACATGCATTACCTGCACTCGAACGTGCTAAACAAGTTACTATGAATGATCTTAATAGGTAAATTAAAAATAATTATTTATTTTCGGTTTTTTTTCTTTTCTTTTTTCTTTTTTATTGAAGTGTCATTCAACAACAATTTCATGCCCAAGCAACAGCTCTTGCACTTGCTACAGCTTCGAATCCATCAACACCTGGTTCTGGAATTCCACCATTACCTGGTGGTGTTCCTGGTCTTGGTTCAGCACCTCATCTTCAATTACCCGGTCCACCTGGTCTTCAAGGAGCTGGTTCTGGTCTACCACCAGGAATGTTAAATTATACATCGGTATTAAGCAGTTTAGCTTCTCAATATGCACCAGGACTAAAAGAAGAAAGTGGTTCATCAATGTCAAAAGAAAATGCATCATCACCACGAACAGCTAATAATGATTTAGTAGCTACAAAAAATAGTAGTAGTAGTCGTTCATCAACAAATGGAAAATCATCTAAACATCGACCATCAAGTTCAAGTAGTAATATATCGAAACCAATAAAACAATCAACAGCTGAAAGTGATGGAGAACGTAGTGAATCAGATTTAGTTATTGATACAAGTGTTGGTGGAAATCAAAAACATAGTAATGGTAGTAGTCATATGGGCAGTGGTCTTCTTTTACCAAATGGTATTAAATCAGAAATAACTGATAATACAACTGGTTCCGGAAGTGGACCTGGTAATGAATCAATGCCAGCAACACCACCAGTATCAGCACCAAATGGTGGTGGAAGTTCATCAAGAAGTCGACGTGATCGAAGTCCTATGTCGGATAAAGATAGTTCACAACGTGGTAGTTCATCATCTGGAGTTAAAAAAGAACGAAATACTCCACAACCAAATAAAGCAATGACACCAATTACTGGAGGTCAATCAAATGTTATTTCATCTCAAATGTCACAAGGTGGTCCATTAGGTGTACCACCAGGACTTGCTGGTGGACGTTTACCACCAAGTGCTGCGTTTGGGTAGGCTAGAAATAAAATTATTGAAATTGAAATTTTATTTTTTTTTGGTTTTTCAGTTTTAATCCAGGTCCATTTTCTTCACCTGAAGCATTAGCAGCTGCAGCTGCTTTTGGTGCCCTTGGTCCACATCATGCAAATGCATTAAATCCATTTGGTCCATTTGCTCATCCATTTGCATCAGCTGAAGTTGCTCAAGCAATGGCTATGGCAGCACAACATCAACATGTTCAGCAAATGGCTCAAGCACAAGCTGCTGCAGCAGCTCAAGCAGCTGCAGTGGCTGCAGTACAACGACAACAACAGCAGCAACAACAACAACAACAACAGCAGCAGCAACAACAACAACAACAACAACAACATGGATCAACTAATCATCATAATCAATTCATGAATCAAGCATATTCATATTTTACAACGTCTGATTCACAAGGTAATCCTGTGACAACACCTGTAAATATGACACCTGAAGCATTAACTGGTCCTAATATACCAACATCAGCACGTGAACTTGCTACATTAATGCATGGAGAAGTTGTTTGTGCAGTCACAATAAGTGAACCATCAAAACGTGTTTATACTGTAACTATAAAAACATAATAATCATGAAAGCTTTTATATATATTTTTTTTTGTGTTTTTTTCTTGCTCTTAGGGTGGTAAAGGTTGTGTTAAAGTTTGGGATCTTAAACAAACTGGAACAATTCGAACTCCATTATCCTATTTTAAATGTCTTAATGATGATAGTTATATACGTTTTTGTAAATTACTTTCTGATGATCGTACACTTATTGTTGGTGGTGAAGCAAATATAATATCAATTTGTGATTTATCAGCAGTTACTGGTGGATCAGCAAGTAATACACGTTCATCAACACCAAATTCTAATGCATCATCACCACCATCATCAAATCATCCACCATCATCAACATCGCCAAGAATTAAAGGTGAACTTAAATTAACTGCACCTGCTTGTTATGCACTTGCTCTTGGTCCATCAGATTCAAAACTTTGTTATTGCTGTTGTTCAGATGGTTCAGTTGCTATTTATGACATTCATAATCAATCATTAGTTAAATCTTTTGTTGGACATGGTAAGATTTTTTTTTTATTTGATTTCATTTTAAAATTTATTTATTTCTTTGTCTTACAGCTGATGGTACATCATGTATTGATATAGCACCAGATGGTCGTACAATGTGGACAGGTGGCTTAGATAATACAGTTCGTTGTTGGGATCTTCGTAATGATTATGCACCATTACAAACATATGAGTTTGATTCACAAATTTTTACATTGGGTTATTGTCCAACAGGTGAATGGCTTGCTGTTGGTATGGAATCATCAACAGTCGAGTTAATAAATATATCATCAGCTATGAGTAATGCAACAAGTCCATCAATGAAAAAAATTCATGATAAATATACACTTAGTTTACATGAAAGTTGTGTTTTAGCACTTAAATTTGCTCATCAAGGTAAATGGTTTATATCCGCTGGTAAAGATAATTATATACATTGTTGTCGAACACCAACTGGTCTTCTTTTATTTCAATCAAAAGAATCATCAAGTGTACTTTGTTGTGACATATCAGCAGATGATCGATATATATTAACAGGTTCAGGAGACAAAAAAGCTACACTCTATGAAGTCACATATTGAATTCTTATCTGTTTGTATGTGTGTGCGTGTGTGTCTAATGATCTTTTTTTCCTTTTCTTTTCTAAATGTTGTTTGTCAATAGTGACTGTATTCTGTTTTTTTTTTTTTTTTTTTCGAAAAATTTTTTTTTTTCTTCTGTCATTCTCCATCTTTTGTATATATGTAAGACTAGATTGGTAGTAGACTCGATCTGCATTATGTTTATTTCTATTTTACAAATAGATACGCACATACGTTTCATTTTCTCAATTGTACTTTGTTGTGTTTGCTCTCATTCTTGTGTGTTGAAATGTCTACTACTACTACTACTACAAACATTCGTCGTCTTCTTATTTACATGTGTATTTGTCAATGAATTTAATATGGAGGATGATCATCAAAAAAAAAACAAAATTTAATTAAAGAATTTTTTTTGGAATGATAGATCTTTAAAAAAGATAAATCAAGAAAGTTACTATTTACATAACACTTTATAAAAGAGATTTAAAAAAGAAAATATCAATTTTTTTTTTCATTGTATTATTCTTTTGTCTTTTATTTAAATAGAATCGCTATAATATCTATGGCCAAATCTAACAATGATAAATATGTAGTTTATTTTTTTATGCTACAATCAAACTTTTAATACAAATGTAGTTTCATTAGTAATAACGACGACTTCATCTAACTTGTTGTCCTTCACGCTTGCATTACTTCAAGTATGTTCTTGATTACGAATCAAGAATATTTCGACGAGCAAATAATGTTTTTTTTTCTTCTTCTAATCATTAATTGCAAGAAAGTGTAATACAAGTGCTTTTATTTGTATTTATATCACTATTCAGTCTTTTTTTTTTTTTTTATAAAAATCATTAACATCTACATCTGTAGGTACAGATTGTCCATGAATATCTTATCAGTAAATATGTAATTGTTAATGGATCTGTAGTTCTGATGACTTTTTTTTCGTTTTGCCTTCGTCTTGCTTGTTGGATAATTGATCAATTGGCAAACACATCTACCGTGATGTGCATAAATATTGCTCGTTCGTCAAGCTCCTGCTATAGGTTACGTTTGTACACATTTATAAAAGAAATGAAGAAAGAAAAAAGATTACGTACAAGTGACGACGGCATCGACATCAAACAAGGCTATAGCTCGTTCCTTTTTTTTTTCCATGCACTAGTAATCGTCTCGTGTCCTGGTTCAATGACCGTAAACGTGTACAAATGGAGAATTGAAGATAGGAGAGAAAAAGAAAAATTATATGCGCAAGTTGGTAATGCAACGATGTCAAGCATATTGATAGCCTTGATTACGTGTGTGCACAAGCGCACGCAGTAAGGTAGTAAGCAAAAGGCAGAGACAAGGTAAAGGCAAACAAGACAGAAAAAAAACACACAAGAGTGCTGCGCATTGTTCGCAACGCTCGATTGACAATTCTAAAAAAATGTAAGTCGAAATGATAGATTATTAGGATGAGTTTTCTCTTATTATGCTATTATTTTAGGACTAAATATTAGCCGGCATGCATGATCTCCAACATGCACTGCCGGCCATTCTGTCCTACTAATGATTCTACATGTTCTTCATTCCATTTCACCCATCCAGATTATACTAACACAATAAATCATCACACTTGTTCTTCTTTATCTTGTCATGATCAAGTACCACTACCGCCATCAACACCAAGACGTCGTCGACGATTAGAAGATCTAGTTATTACTTATGCTTCAAATTATTATGCTACGTATCCTTGTCAGACGTCTTCTTTGTCAAAACAAGCTCCTCCTCTGCCTGCACCTCGTCGAATTTATCAGCGATCAGAAGATAATGGTATTTACTGCGATTTATTTAATTTACTTGAACGCTCTTCACCATCACCTCCACCAGTGAAACAAAGAAGAAAATATACGTTAAATGATCATCAACCACGACGTCGTCATCCGTCGATTGCTTATAAAAATGCTCATGCAAAAATGAAAGATGTCAATGAACGAAAACGTCATCATTATCAAGGGAAACCATCTTCTTCTTCTAAAGAGAAAAAAAGTCAAGAGAGTGAATTATCATCAACAAAAAAATATGATCGATTGCAAGAAAATGTAAAAACTAACAATGGCATTTATCAACAACATTCATCAAGTAAAGGATTTTTTCGACGAGTAGCACGCAACTACTTTTGTATGCCAATGACAGTTGCCAATGCGGAGTTTTCGAATTGAAAAAGATATTTTAAAATAAATGACAAAAGAGTGCTGGTATTTGATGAAAAAAAAAAAACAACAAAATCAGTTTAAATACTATACGATCAGTAGGGTATAATTAATAGATTAACTTAAAGGATTGATAGATGATATAGAACTGTAAAGATATTAATAAATTATTCAGAATTAATAACTGCATCATCAGAGAAGATTTCTATCAGCATCGTATTAGTCAAACGATTCACATGTTTATTCAATTTCAAAATTCTCTATTTTATTATTTTTCGGCTTGTAGTATTTACTTTTTGAATAGTAAATACAATCTTAAATATTTATCTAAAACTCATAAATGCATATATTAAATGAAGTAATAAATAGAATCATTCAAGGAAAAAAAATAGAAAGTTATATGATAATACGCTTGAATAACCATATGAGATAAAATATACAAAAAATAATAAAAAAAAAAAAGCTCCCATTCACTTTGACATTGTTGATCATTGATGGATTGTCTTTAGTTTTGTTCGAAATTTTTAAACAATTTCATCAACTGTATTAGATCGAGCACAACAACAATATAAAATCAAACCTTAAACAAATAGAAGAATTATATCAGTACATGAATAAAAAAAATTCAATAACTTACCACCAATAGGAAAAAAGATAATAATTAAAATCCAAATAATTTTCGAACATAAACCATGACTACTTGATTTGAGTAATTCAAAAATAGCAATAAGATCAAGGATCAAGATTATCTACAATTCATAGACAAAAACAATTTTTTATCATCTTGCAAAATCTATATTACCAAACCGAGCACACCACCCACACTTGATCCAATAACAATTCGATTATCTTCAACATGTGCACTTAAAATCGACTGGATAAATGTAAGAATAATAGTAATAAACAGAGATATATGCATCTTTTTTTTTTTTTTTACCAATTCAATAAAACGTCAAAATCTAAAATCATACGTGCTTATTTAGAATGAATGTTTGATATGTAAGATTCAGAAGAAAAAAAACACGAAATATTATTTATACATTCAATAATCATGCCTTCATGCACATCTTGTGAAAAAGTTTTAAATGAAGAAAGATACACAAGATAATATCGAATGACACATATGCTAGTGAAAAGCAACGAATGTGCACTGGAATATCTCAACATTTTCTTCGTGTATCATCTTTAGATAATATGCAAAAGAAACATGTAAGTCACCATATGTTCGTGTATGAGTCGAAACAAATGAAGATACTACATGATTGAAGAAAGAAAAATGTGAGCTAGGAGGCCACAGATGTTAGAACGAAAATGTAGAAAATGAAATGATAATTTTCTTTGATTGTACTTCTTGACGTCGTTGTTTCACTATTTAGATTAATCTTAAACACATAGCTATTAATACAAGGATCTTGGCAATCAGAACTTTTATTATTGACAAAAGATAAAAACGAAATTATCTAAACATTAGCTCTATTCATTACACTTTGAATGTGCCTCAACTTTGAAAAATATTCAAACAAGATAAATCACTGTGATATAGTTCTCTGATTGTTACATAGTTTTTCTTTTTCTTTTCTATGATCGTTATAAATATTACATGGACATATCTTTTTTTTACAAGCATCAACAACATGCTATTATTAATGATAATAATAACTATTTGTTTTTCCGGTTCGGTTCATATTGTTAAATATGTTCTTTCTTTTTTAGTACGACATTTACAATTATACAAAGATGATAGAAATATTTAACTTCTGACATCTTCATATAATTCATGTGTTAGAAATTTCCATGTGATTGATAAATAACCTTACGTTTTCTTCCAATTATTGTGGCGCATGTCAAGTGAATGTCAAGATCAAGACAATTGCCTCTTCTAACTTTAGTATCGAATATAGACAATGGTTTTATTATTTGTGTTCAGCGAAAGGACTCGAAACATATATATATATACTTTTTGCTTTCTGACAAGATATTATTTCTTCAATTTGAATAAACATTTATTAGCAATAGCGAGCAACCTATGAAATCATTTGATTATAAGTTCTTTCAATGCTGGCTTATAACTCGTTTACACATTTGACGAATTTCATCAATTGATTTGAACTACTTTGTTTTTCCAGTAACTGGTAACAATGATAAATGGTATAGTTGTCGTCTTCTTATCATATCTTTATTTTACGATACTCAATTTTTATATAATTAAGTGTTCACATTCAACGAACAATCATGTATTCTTGCTCAGCGTATTTATAAATATGCAAAACAACCAAATACAACTCATGATCTTTATACATATATCTCTGCATATACACTTGACATTATTACTGATTTGTTGAATGGTTTCGTCAAATATCTGTGTAGTATTCTTCTTTGATTATTTGATTTTATTCCAGAGACAGCAATGAACACACATCTCAAAACTGAAGAAAATTATTAAGAAGAAATCCGTTTTTCCAGGTGCCTGCTAGGCTAAATAAGATAGAATCTAGTTGAAATCAAGATTTTGACTTAGATTTGTTGAAATAATAAGTAGACGTTCAAGATAATCAGGAATGTGATCTGTATTTGTTATCGATCGACGATCAAACGAATGTGAACAGAGAAAGACACTTGAAGTTCTATATGAGTTTTCACAGTAGGCAGTTCTTCTTCTTTGAATAACCATTGACAATGTTGTTTCACTTAATAAAAATTATTGAAGAATATACCATTGCTTTCAATGTCGAAGAAATGACAAGTAATATTGAAAAGAAGACTAAAAATAGTTTTGTATTTCTCGATTGTCATCTGACTCAACGGCATGCTGAAAAGCTTCTATCAGATGATATTGATATTTAAGAGGAAGTTGATGCATTAATTTTCTAAAGTCACAATAAAACAGCAATGACTATAAACTTCTTCTGTTATTTAATGATATATTATCCAGATGCTCAAGCAAAAGTTCATTTTGACATGAATTCTACATGGGGAGATGTTTGTGTGTTGGGTTTCGTCTTTTCATTCATTCATACCCAAACTTGATAATTGAACTAACAAATTATTAGGTTATCTAAGATATGAAGTAATTTATTCTGATTTAGAGCTGTTACAAGAATATTTACACGAGTGATCTGGATAAAAATACTATAAATTTGTTAACATACATGGACAAAGAAAGAAAAATCTATGAATAAGTTTATTTTCAAATTATTAAATTACCATGTAACTAATACAGCAATTTATTATCATATTCATTGTGCTTTCTCCTCTTATGCTACCAACTATAGTTAATTAAAAACTCATGAATTTAATTATTCTCTAAGCCCTATTATATTTTCTCTAGGGTCATCAAATCTCCACCTATCTAAATATCATTACTAGCTTATAAAAAAATAATAGGCCTTGTAAATCATCATCTTATTTTCGCGACTTATTGAAATTTCTGAGCGAATATTTAACAAAATTCAAAATACTAGCCTTGTTATCGATTATTTACACAAAAACTGTTCTTGCGCATGAAAATATAGATATTGCTCTATATAGATTATTTACGAGATCGACTCCTACCCTGTATTTGTTTTAATCGTTCATAATTCAAATAATTATTAAACATGGCTGTATGTAACATTACACTTATATTTCTCGATAACGTGTTTAAACAAATAAATAGAGGTTCAATCAGGTCGCAATCAGTACTAATAGTAATCGATTTATTGATGTCAACACTTGAGCAGAAACTGAATAGATTCTCTAAAAATCAACTATTGATATGCATCAGATGTGTGAACAATATAGATTTAATATTTAGAAAAAAAAATCAACAAAAATATGAACAACTTTTTAATAATAGTTATTAAGTGGCAATCGAATATAAAATTTAGAATTAAACATAACTGTCATGAAAGCTAAATCATTGTTGGATGTACACTAGCAAGTCGAAATAAATTAGAATAAAACGATATAATAGTATGCAACATTGAGAACCCACCAATACTAATCTTTACTTACTATACAACAATAATCAATGCACAAAATGTAAATCAATTTAAATTCGAATATTTGTCATTCTCATGATTTCAATTTCTTTGCCTCACAAATTAAAAGATAACAAGCTGAAATTGATGAAAACAAATCTTAGTCATGAATGGTTATCGACCATTTTATTAGCAACCAGTATACATGCAAGAAAAATAATTACTGAACAGCGATTTCTAAACAGAAACAATCCAATCTGCTATACAAATTAATATAACTTGTTGAAAACTCTTTATAACTAAATGTCCACTTCTTCCGATTGAAAAAAGAGTCGAAAAAATCAAAAAAGTATTAAAAAAATTACCAGGCACAATATCATGCATGAATTGTGAGAAATATTACATTGAGAAGATAGAGAGAAGAAAAAAAATCTAGAATAAAGAAACACCAGGCTAACATCAAGAAGGAAACACGATCGTCGAATGAAACTAAACATGTTCATGAAAAAAAGAACATTCATCAATTCCACATGATCTAAAGCTTTAGTGCTTGAGACAAACTGATAAAGAAGAATTACCAGTGAAAATCTATTTTTACATCAAAAGTAAGGAAATTCTTAATAAAGTTATGTGCAGATAGAACATTTTTACATGAGATAATGCCTGTCGACAACAAGTTACATATGTAATATATGTTACAAACAATAGTATATCGTAAATTATTATTAGTTCTTTATTGTTCTTATATTGTTAAAGTTCTATCAATTGGTCGATTGTAATATGCATAGAGATTGTCTTTTCACTATTGTGTAGTTTGTGATGATGATTGTGAATTTCTATTGTCGAAATCTTAAATAAACAATAAATTGATCTCTTCTATTAAATGTTATGATGACTTTTGTAGCAGTTTCGTACTCATTAACGTTCAAAACAAGACAATCTTTGAAAACATCATTAAATTAGTTCATTTAACCTTTGAAATGCTGACTCTTCGATTCCGTCACGTACAATGACAAATATAGTGTGGATCCTTCTTTATGAATGAAAGAACTCCATCGTATTTGACATGCATGTTATTTCAATAGAAATTGCACAAAAGTTTTTTTATTCTCAATTCAACAAGATCAGTTCGTTCTTATCTTGTAGATATTGTGTTTCATGTGTTTCCATCGAACAGATTCAAATAGCAGTGGATCCACTGAACGTGTAGCTCATTAAATTGTTGCATAATCTTGGTTCTAATAATAAAGAGAAATGTTGAGCATAAAATTGATGTAACTGAATTTCGGTTTTTTTTTCGACATTTTGATACTTGTAGTGTTGAGGCAATTGTTCAGCTGTGAGAACACTTGATCTCTGCATATTTCCAATGACACAAGACAACTTTACCGACGCTTTTCTGCTCTAATTATTGCATATCTAGCAGATAGTTATCAATCTGCTATAATATCAGTTTAAATCAAAATTCAGAAATCTATCTTTAATGCAATGCTCTCTTGATGTTTCATTATAAAATTTGACTGAATGTTTATTCTCCAAGCATGAAAATTATTCTTATATGGTCATCGCCGAAACAATCTTCTGTTTTAATCTTTGCAATCAGAGAAATATGAGCTGAGTTACATTTGGTTAAACTTGAAGAAATGTAGCATCAAATTATGTAACTGGTCACGTGAAACACTTTGGTCGTAGAAGAATTATTGACGTTTTCTTCACCCGAATAGTTTTCAAATATACTCTGCGTTTGAATAATTAAATTTATATAGAATTTTCTCAAGAAACTTTTTGCATACATTTTATATGTTGAAAACTTTCCAATCACTTGCTGTTTTTGATTCTATAATGATAACACATTAGTTATTCTCATAACATTTCTATTCTGAGAGAATTTTTTCGTCACAATCTACATTATAACGATAGATCAGAATGATATAATTAATTTCATTCGATTTTACGAGTA